TTTTTTTTCTAATGCCACACCTGGTCACCTTCTGTGCCTGGGGAGTTAGGAGAGAGCAACCTATGATGCCTGGTCACTGTGTTTCTCCTCCAGTTTCTAGGTCACTTTCCAGTCTGCCTTCCTCTTCCACCTCTCAGAGTCCTCTTATGCTTGTGCCTGGTGTCATTTCTAGGGGTCAGAATTGTACTGAACAGGAGAGCAGGAGAGGTGAGCCTCCACCATCTTGTCAGGACTGGCTTCAGTTTGCTTTTAGTCTCCGCCTCCTGCTGGGGCTCAGACCAGGCTGCTACTTCCTGGTGCTCTCAGTGTGCCTCACCCAGCACGCTTGCTAAGTACTGAAGCTGGGAATGGTTTGGGGTTGTTTAGCTGGGCTGGCTGGAGCAAAGTGTACCCTCTGCACTGGGATGCCACACCTACACGAGGTCTGAGGACTCAGGCCACTGCAGTCCTGGGTCCAATGGGCCTGGTGTGAGGATGCACATCTTTCTGGTCATGTGTATGGTACTGGGGTGTTTTACAATATTTCAGATTAATCAAACTCTTCTCTGTCAGTATAACATAATCTAAGCATATTAGTGGACTTTGGAATTTGTTGGGTCATTTTGAAAGTGGAAGAAATGTTCAGAGTCCTCTAATATTTTTTATTCTTTTTAGTCTCATAATTCTAAATTTCTTTTCCCCGCCATTTCCTTTTCCCTCTAAGACTCAATTGACAAATAGCACTTCCTCCTTATTTCCTGCTTTCTCCCCTATGATATGCACTTCACATTGTGCCTGTCTCTTTCATCTCATCTGTCCTTTTAAAATGTCCCTGCCTCCTAGTATTAGGTTCCTATGGCTGCTGTAACAAATTACCAGACATTTAGTGTCTTAAAACAACTCATATTTATCACCTCACAGTTCTAAGGTCAGAAGTCTGCAATGGATTGATAGGACTGGGTTCCTTCTGGAGCCTCTATGGGAGACTCAATTTCCATGCCTTTTCCAGTCCCTAGAGGCACCCACACTCCTTGGCTAAGGGCCCCACATCACTCGGCTCTGCTTCTGAGGTCGCAACCGCTTCTCAGATTCCTGCCTCCCCTTTCACTTGTTAGGATCTTTGGATTAAATTGGCTCCACTGGTATAATCCAAAATAATGTCCCCATTTCCAGATCTTAATAACCACTGAGAGGTCCTTTTGCTGTGTAGGTGACATATTCACAGAGTTGAGAGGGACTGTGCTGACCCTTTTACATCAGCCATACATTGAAACACCTTCTTATAATCTGAACTCTGATTCACAGGACAATTTTCCAATAATTTCAAATTTAGGGTGGGTTAAATATTGGTGTTACAATTTCCAAATAATTCTCAGGTCCCTGTGCTAGCTGTCGTCGTCTGTTTCTCCTGCACATTTTCCCCTGGCTGTGAGGGTGGGCTGGCAGCCTCGTGACAGATTGTCCACTAAGATTTAGTGATTTTTCTTTTTTGAGTCATCGTTATTTTGCAGTTTTTTCATATCTTTTCAAGTAATATAGAGAGTTAGTTTTGTGTAGAAATTAATTTCCTTTTTTATTTGTTTCTTTTTCTAGTTTGGAGAGGATAATTTCTTTAAATTAAATTTATTGGGGTGACATTGGTTAGTATAATTATACTGGTTTCAAGTATAATTCTATAATACATCATGTATATATTGCACTGTGTGTTCACCAACCAGAGTCAGTTCTCCTTCCATCACCATATATTTCATCCCCTTTACCCTCTTCTACCATCCACTCACCCCCTTCCCTTTGGTAATGGCTAAACTGTGGTTTGTGTCTATCAGTTTTTGTTTCTTTATTTGTTTGTCTTGTTCCTTTGTTGCTTTCAGTTTTATATCCCATATATGAGTGAAGTCATATAGTTCTCGACATTTTCTGTCTGACTGATTTTGCTTAGCAAAATAATATCAAGACCCCCATGTTGTCACAAATGGCAGTATTTCATCTTTTCTTATGGTAGAATAGTATTTGATTGTGTATATATACCACGTCTTCTTTATCCAATCATCTATCGGAGGACACTTTGGTTGTTTCCATGTCTTGGCCACTGTAAATAATGCTGCAATGAANAGACTCAGTGTTTACTCGGACAGCCATGTTGGAAGAGATGCCAGAGTTTGGGCGGTCACTGTACTTCTTTCCAGAAAACCTTCCTGTTATTCAGGGACCAACTCAACTACTCACTGAAGGCTCTGAGCATGGCTGGGTTATTTTAGAATTCCTTCACCCAGGGAAGATGTCCCATATGGGTGACTTAGGGGTCACCCCACTGAGGCAACAAACATGCTTAATTAGGATTTTCTACCAAAGGCCCAGGATCCTGAATCCTGAAATGTCAGCACTGAAAGGCCTTTAGACCATCCAACCCTACCCGCTATATACAATTGGGATCCTGAGGCTAAGAGGCGACAGGGCCTTGCCCATTGTCACATGGCCAATAAGAGGGGATTGTTCCAGAGCCCAGTCTGATTGTAGGCTGGCTCCTTCTTGTCCCGGCCATGGACTCTCTCTTCATGGAAAAGCCTGGCACATAGTAGGCATAGAATAAAAAGCTCAGTATATTGAACCATTTAACAGAGAGCCAAACTCATCTTTTTCATTGGTTTTCTAAAGGTTCAGCTGTTCCTTGCATTCAGAGCCTGAGGCCCAAAGATTGGGGCCCTGTCCCAACCTTCAGCCACATCACTCCAAAACAAGCATCCATATCAGCACCTAGAAATCCCCATTGTTCAACAGCTGCCTAACACTCCAGCATATGGAGATACCATCATTCATTTACAGTTTTCTGTTGCTGGATATAAGTTGTTCCCAACTTTCAGTTATTAAAACAGCACTACAGCAGATAACCGTGTCCACGTGTCACTCTACTCATGAGGGAGAGGCCCACTGGAAGTGGCATTGCTAGGTTAGAGAAGATATGTACTTTAATTTGTGTGGATTTAACCAAATTTCTATCCTAGATGTGGTAGCAGTGGAGTCTCCCCACCACCCCTGGACATAGGCAGGGAAGGTGACTGTGTCCTGAGTTTGCAGATATCACAAGAGGCCCTAATGCTGCCTCCCTCCCCTAGGTAGCCACAGGTAGTGAGTGGCTCCGTCACCTCTCAGATCTGCTGCCTCCTTGCTCATTCCTTTTCCCCAGTTACCTGCCCAGACGACGCCCTGGATGAGAAAGTAGGGATGCAGGAGGGGCCGGGAAGAGCAGGTTGCCAGATGCGGTCTCTTCCTCATGGCATTACTCTCATAACCAGTGCTCTGAGGGCATGTGTTGCTCCTTTATACAGATGAGGACACTAAGGCTTGGAGAGGGGGCCTTACTAGGAAGAACATCTGGGAGCCAAGATTGAAACCCAAGCGCTTAGTCTTGCCATTTGTGACAACATGGATGGACCTAGAGGTTATTATGCTAGGTGAGATAAGTCAGACAAAAAATGATAAATAACCATATGATTTCACGTATATGTAGAATCTAAGCAAAAATATTAAACAATAACAACAACAAAAAAAGACTCATAGATGCAGAAAAACTCATGGTTGCCAGAGAGGGGGAGGGTTGTTGGGGAATGGTCGAAAATGGTGAGGGGGGAATAAGAGAACAATATTCCAGTAATAAAATAAGTCACAGAGGTGTAATGCGCTACATAGGGAATACAGTCAGAAATATAATAAGTTTACACGGTGACAGAGGGTTACTACACATAACATGGTTATCATATTGTACGTATAAATCTCTAATCACTACTTTTTACAGCTAATAGTATATTGAATACCAACCCCAACCATAAGTTTAAAAAAATAGCATTCACTAGTCTTTTTCCCCACTTTTGTGGTGNGGCAGTTGTCACTGGCCCTCATATGTGGGATCCGAACCTGGGCCCTCTGGCGTCCCAAGCCAGTTCTTAACCATCGTGCCACTCGGCCGGCCCTGTAGTTCTCTTATAGTGGTTTTGTCTGGCATTGTTATCAGGAAGACATTGGCCTGAGTAGGAATCTCAGAATGACTCTGAATAACTCAAGAAGTCTTCCTTCATATTAAAATTTTTTGTACAGTTTGAAGACAATTAGTGTTAGTTTTCCTTTAAATGTTTGGTAGAATTCACCAGTGAAGCCAAGTGGTCCTCGGCTTTCATTTGTTGGGAGTTTTTTAATTTGATTTACCGTTCTTACTAGTTACAGGTCTATTCTGATTTCCTAGTTCATCCTGATTCAGTCTTGGTAAGTATGCGTTTCTAGTCATTTGTCTATTTGTTATGGGTTACCTAAATTATTGGTGGATAATTATTCATAGTACTCTATTACAATCCTTCTTCTTTCTGTAAAATTGTTAGGAATGTCCTTCGCTTCTTTCTGATTTTAGTTACTTGTGTCTTCTCTTTTTTTCTTAGTCAATCTAACTAAAGGTTTGTGAATTGTGTTGATGTTTTTGAAGAATCTTCATAGTTTTGTTGATTTTGTCTGTTGTTTCTCTATTCATATTTTATTTATCTCTGCACTAATTTTTTTTATTATCTTCCTTCTGCTACTTTAAATTTTGGATTTACTTTTGCTCTTGTTTTTCTAATTACTAAAGATATATAGTGAAGTTTTCGATTTATTATCTTTTCCCTTTTTAAATGTCTGCATTTATAGCTATAAAGATACCTTTACCACCACTTGCTGCATCATATGTTCCTGTATGTTGTGTTTTCATTCTCATTAGCTTCAAGGTGTTTTCCAAATTCTCTTGTGGTTTCTTCTTTGACTTGATTTTTTTTGACAGTGTTGTTTCATTTCTTTGTATTTGTGAATATTTCATTTAACTCTTAATTGATTTCTACTTTTATTTTGCAAACTGTTTTACCAGTGCACTGCTAGAATGGTTCTTCTTGTAACACTAATAAGTTGTCTTGCCATTCATACTGTGTGACACTGCCACATACATAGGTTTTTGTTATAGCAACTGGTTTGTGTAATAGTCAAGAGAGATGTGTCTGGTAAACAGAACAATAGTCCCCCCCCCACAAAGATGTCCATGTCCTACACCCAGAAATGGTGACTATTTTCCTTTATATAGCAAAACATATTTTGGAGAAGTGATTA